TCCTGCAGCAACCCAACGTTGCATGGCAGGCATTCAAGCGTGGAAAAGTGAAACGAAAATGACATTTCATCCACTCAGGTACTGAGTGAAATCGAAAGCATAAATTTAAAACACGCCGAATTTTGCAAATTGAATACAATTTTAAATGGGATAAAAAAAAATCCGAATGACGATATATAGTTGAAGTTAATATTTTTAACTCACAAGCTCTAGGTTTAATCCTATCTTTTTAAAATTTTGTATTGATTTTGTTCGACGTTATACATGCTTTCCATGGAAAATCAGAAGTTCAAATAGGGTTTTTATACGTACATACATATGCACATAAGTGCATTGATATAGTAGAAGCATGCATTGAGATAAAGGAAAAAAAGATGGTAAGATACATAAATGAGCTACTTAATGGGGGCAGTCAGTCATTGTATAAGTCGTAGTAAACTTTCGTTTTCTAACGCCTTCTTAACTGCAAAAATGATAATGACTTTAATACGTATGACTTAAAAGATTGAAGTCAGTGACAAGTTTATATTGATGACTTTTAAAAGTGAAAGTCATTGGTTGATTTTTATTAATGACTTTCATAAATAAAAGTCTTCAATAACTGTTGTCTAATACATATAATATAAAAATCAAAAAATAATTGGTGTTTTGGAATTATAAACTAAAAATCAAAAATAATTGTTTCTTTTTTTAACTTTACCTAAAAAGTGCCAAAAAAAATATTTTGAAAATAGATTCTCGGTTAAAATTCAAATCGAGTGATATGTACCACTTAGTTGTTGAACATTTCCTTCATATGTATTTTTCAATGACAGTTTTCATCAATAACTGTTATGTTCGGTCTCTGACCATGACACAAAAAAGAAGGTAGTTCCATTTTCACCTTTTCGTCGCCATATTTACAACCTAACAACTAAGCAGATTGTGACATTTCGTGCTACCCAGCACCCAATATCTAAAATTCCTCAAATTTTATTACTAATTTTTTGTTTATTTAAAATAATTTTGGTTGGGTACGGTTCGGTTATTTGTATAATGTTTTTTGGTTATTGTGTCCAAACCAGGGACCAAAAATTACTGTTATTTCGAATTTAAAAATTGAAAATGTTGCCCGAATTCTAAAAATTAATGAAAACATTATTTCATAATAGTTATTAGATGAAAAATATTTTTTATTTCGCGTAAAAGGGTTATAACCCAAGGTTTTTCCAACAAAACTTATAACTGTTATGTCCCTGGTTCAAACGTGTAACCCGAATCAAAAAATTTTAACATACGGGTGTAGTCAAAGGATAATGGATAATATCACTTCTCTGAAAGTCATGAGACCCATGGGTCCCAAAGTAAATTCCACTTTCAAGTTAATTGAAAGACATGGAGTTAAAGTAGTGTTTTATATTGTCGTATAGTTGTATGTCGTAAACTTTAAATTGCTAAAAATACATACATATGAAGACCGTTCGCAAGGTTCCATAAAAATCATAATCTGCCTTATCCTGAGTTTCACCGGAAAAAAAATTCACCCGAAAATTTGTCATCCCTCCATAGTAAAACCATGGAAACCAAGAGTGAAAAGTGAACCGGTTCGGGGAAAATGAAACTCATGATAAGGCTGAATATGAACTTTGAAAATATTACAATAGTTTGATGTGGTTGTAAATCCTCTAAACATTTATTTGAGCTTTTAAAGTTTCTGTTATGGACCAGAAGCGTTCGAAAGTGAGGTCAGACTTTCCGCGAGCAAATAATTGATGAGCTTAGCCCCTTGAACCCCGCTGCTGTAACAGATTGCTTTTATATACATAGCGGAGTATCACGCTGGCAAACTCCAACTTCAGTGGGTTGCAAGCTCAAATGCCAGCTTAACAGAGACTTATTGCCAAAATACGTATGTACATATGTATGTATTTCTATTTGTATTTGAGGTATTAGTAAAAGGTTTTGTTGATGTGCACTCTCCTGTCGCGGTCATCTATTATTTGCAGGGGCAATCCGGTCTTTCAGTTACTCACTCACTTTCTCTCAAATTATCGCATGTCCTTGTTCTTCAGCTGTGTTGTTTTGCGCTGCTAATTACTGGATGGCAAAATAAATCGTTAGAGAAGACCATTTATCGATGGTTTTTTTTTTTTGGAATTTTTCATTCCATTTACCATCGTCAACTTCATGATCCGCCTTCGCCATTCAGTCAATATGTATGCCACATTGCTGCTTCTTTTTATTTTTATTATAGAATAAGAATGTAAATAGAAATGTTAGCGAGACTAAAAGCCTAAAATTGTATAAACCGATGCATACGGTGACCATCCGTCCTTCTGTCCTATATAATTTTTATTTATTTATTTATTTTTTTTTTTTAATAAAGGACGCTGAGTTTCCAGTTCCATTGAAAGAGAACAATAAACCCCCTACTGCACAGTGGTTCAAAACTGGCATTTAGTGTTCGTAATTCACTAGAGCCTTCATTTTAACTTAGTTTAATTAATAAAAATAAAAAAGCTTACAATATTTGCCAGAGACCAGTTGAGCCTGATTTGTGAATTTTCATTTGACTGTATTAAATTTTTTAGTACAAAATGCAGAAAAGTAGCAATTTTGAAAAAAAGTATTCTCCTGTTCCAGTTAATAAATGTTACATAACAAAAACTGGTTGAAAACAATTGTATGGTTCTCCCAAAACGAAAAAGTACACAAAAAAAATTCTCAAATGTTATAAAAAAATGTTCACCAAAAGATTTTTTTTATGGTTTTTAGTAAAAATTTAACATTAAATTCCAATTTTAAACCACTGTGTGCTGTCCTCGTCGTGCAGTATGAATTATGGTAAACGCATTTTGGTAGCAAAGGATGGCCAAGTCCTTGAAAAGGATTTAGCTTAATTTTTCGCTACAGCAGGGGAACTTTTACAATTAAGTAATATAATTAACTGGTAAATATTTGATTTAAATTACGATATGAGTAAGCAACTTTTATCATACATCAATACGTATGTACGTATTCCCAAATTATTTTGAAAAAAATTTCCTTCATTTTACGTTGGTTAATATGGTCACCGTACCTATGCACAAATATTCATACATACTGATAGTCCGGCCGATTTTATCTTCAAAGACAACATATCGGGGACTTAAATTTACTGCTGCAGATTAACAAACAACAACAACACTTACATCGCATCGTGAGACCTTTTGGTGTCAGCAGGGTTAACATTGTGCAATAAAAAAATTAAAAATAACCTTACTTTCGTTGGCCTTTTGTGTGGTTATCAATTCACGTTGGACGATGTCAAAAATTTACCACTTACACTTATTTAGCGGGACAAAGTACCGCTTACAAGCGCGCAAAAATGTCGAAATTTTGGCGAAAATCGACCTATGACATCGCACTTTAAATTTATCGTGGACATAGAGTAAAAACAATGTTTACTCAATATGTATTTGACAGATTTTCGAAATACATATATGTATATTAAATTTTTGAAAATTCAAAATGGCGATTCAAATATTGAGTAAATGAGACTAAAACCCTACAATTTTATAAACCTATGCACCAATATTCATTCATACATACTTATATACATATATACATATGTATTTGTGCACATAAGTATGTGTGTGCAGCTGAATGTGACGCACAATTACACAGCACGCCAGCAACAATAACAACTAAACCAAGTACTGGTAGAAAAATTATAGTACCAACTGTAATAAAAATAACCAATGCACATAAAACAAAGCACCCTGCCAACAATGTGACAACAACAGTAAGAGAGATGTGAGTATAAACAATAATAAAAAAAAACAAAAGCAAGCAAACAAATCCACGAAAATAAGCGATCATAGTGGATAAGCGCAAAGAGCAAGTACTCACATACGTGCACATAACAGTAAATTGGTGCTTACTTATAAATGTACATATATATGCATGCATGTTTGAGTTCAAAAGCGTGCAAAGTGTAGTATGCTTTTAAGAGCGCGCCACGGTTAGTAAGTAGTTAGGCGGTGCACAACAGAAAGTCGCAACAGTCACTCGACAAAGCAATCTTTGTTGCTACATATCGTAGTAGGGGGGTCATGTTTATAATTTGACATGTGTCAGTTGCTGTTGTCTATCTTTGTCTTTACATTTGTATTAGATTGCTTTAATATTAATTTAACCGACCCAGTAGGCAAGTGGATGCCTTCATAGGTAAAAAAAGTGCGCACGTATCAATGCCATTAGGATTTTCTGTCCCGTAGGCAGACTCATCAAGAGTGGTTCGGTTCCCTGGAATGTATCAGTGGCTTAAGAACACGCAAAGCAAGTTTCTTAAAAGCTTTTGCGTTGAGTATCGACTATAAGTTCATTTTGATAGACGCTATAGTGATAGGTCAACTTGAAAAGAGGTTTACCGAGAGTTTGCTGGGGTGACTGGTTGGTTGGTTGAAGTGGCGAGTTTAACAAGTCCAAAAGAAAAAAGAATTTTACATAGAAAAAGCGATAACAAAAATAACAGCAAAGGATGGATATTTCTCTTAAATCCAGCATGTGGAATTTTAAAAAACCGATTAGTTGTATATAAACCTAATTCAAGTCCTACGCAGTGCTGTGCAGTCGCACAGGAGATGCTCTACCATTTCTTCTGCATCTGGTTAGTTACTACTACTACAAGAATTGTTGAATATCAGTGCTAGTCTTGCGACATGAACACCCAAAGCCCAGTAGCTTGCGAATTTTTAAGAAGTCCTTTTAGTGCCATAAACTTCTAAAGACTCTAGAAGATTTTAAAATTTTCCACCAGCCGTTTGCCACATTTTGTCTGTGCGAAAATGTGCAGCTCTTTATATACATAATCATAAAGTTGCAGCTCTTTATATATATCAGAGGTTCAATAATCTCTACTACCGCTGATATACTCAGGGCCAGCCCGTTTCTGAGTAGAGCGATCGGCTATTTCGCTGTTATGAATGCCCCCAATTCGTGCCCATAAATTATTATAAATTATCGATTTTGGTGTTTTATTATCTTGCGTTGGCTAAAATAATGTTTCAGCTATTCAAATATATCCAAGACGATCTGTTCCTATGATCAGTGTGAAAGTGTTAGTTGACGCAGCGCTCTGAAAAGTAAAAAATGTAATGCTAAAGTAAAAAGTTATAAAAATTTGTTTATTTCAAGATAATTGTGTTTTAAATTATAATACTACATATTGCATCCGACCGTGTCCGACCTTTTGTTTAAGATACGATTTTGTACCATACAATATTAAATGTTTTTTTGAAGATGATTTTTTTAAATTAATTTTTTGCAACCAATTTCGTGTAAGATACACGTAAACGTAATTATCTTATAATTCGATAGCTTTTTCTTAAGAATTTTAAATACAAACTTAAAAAACTCAAATATAACTAAATTTCATATTTTTCAAATTCAACAAATTTCTTTTAATTTTAGGCGCCGTATTGGATCGGCCATTTCGTTTTTAGTTAGCTTGATTTCAGATTCAAATTTACAGACCCCAATAACTCTTAAATAATATAAATATAAGCCATTCTTATTATTATTTTTAACAAAATTATTGTTTTTAAGATTTTAGGCGCCATATTTGATCGGCCATATTAGTGTTCTTTTATTTTGACTTCATATTCAAATTCAGCGACCTCAAAAACCCCTGTAAACCTGAATTCATGTAAATATACTAATTTTTAAATTATGGGCACGAAATGGTTATCAAAAAGCACTATGCGGCACCACGAGTAGCGTAGTGCAGTGATAGTAAAAAAAAAAAATTTTAAAAATTTGCCTGATGCCGGGTTTGCACTAGGCATGCATATAAAAACATTTTTTACTTTTAAACTTATTGAATATGTGACTTGACGTAATAGCCCGGATATTTTTGTATTCGCAAATTTATAATTTAAATGTGTGTAATTTAATGCCTAGTGGAAATCTGGCATTATTATTTGCCATTAATTTTTCGTGATTTCATGTGAAGCTTGGCTGTGCATAAAAAAAAAATCATGCAGATAATCAATGCCTTATTTGAGCAACTATGCTTGCCATCTTTACAAAAATTGTATTCGTATTATTTGAAAAGTAAAATCAATTATTACATATGGGTATCAATCGAAATGGGTTGAATGGGCTTTACCTCTTAAGTATATGTAGGAGGGTTGCCACCTATTTAAAAAATCAAATTCAACTTGAATTCAGGCAATTAGGTAATTGAAATATTTATCAAAATATGGGTGTTAATCGAATGAGTTTTAAGAAGGATTTAGTCGAACTTAATAAAACTATACACAAGTTATTTTCAATTAAGTACTCTCTAGTTTGAACCTTTAGACTATTTTTGATATGTTTGAAGCGGTATGTCAGCTGTTTAAAAATTAAATTCAAATTATTTAGTAAGTGAAACATTTAAGCATGAACATCAATGAAAATAAACCCAAAGTCTATATTTCAACGCCGTGTTAGTTTACTAGTTACTTATGTAGTATATAATTCGAGTTTTTAGCAATTATTAATATATAATATAAATTTGATGACATAACTTGGAATTGTCATGTGACGTATAAGACAGATCTAGTTAAGCCAATTCAGATGGTTTTATCTTCTTTATATTGCATAATATTTGTACTAGATACAGTTATTTGTTCATATCATTCGTGTCATCATATTTTCTCGTTTTCTAAATTCGAAATGTCGTACGTACCACTGTTATCCCTAAGATATGCAGCGATTTACACTTTTGATCCCTTCAATTTGCGCTTAGTGCTTCCAGTTAGCTTACATACTTTCATATGTTCAAACATAAATAGCTAAGCAAATAAGGACACAAACAGTGGCGGTCAAAAGTGGAGTAATGCTGCTTCGTTTTTAATATATACAATGTTTTTCAAGCAAAAATTTTTTAATGTTTTTTTTTCAAATAGAGAAATTTAGGAAACCTGGCGTTGGCTTTCTTTTAAAAAAAACGCCGTCAACAAAAAATATATATATATTAAAAATCAATGCGATTTTTTAGCCGCTCAAAACTTGCACTTATTTCACCAAAATTGTGTTAGCCTGTTAACTGCATAGCCAAAAAATTTATAAAAATTCTGCTTAAAAAGCTCGAAATTTAGCTAAAAATTTTAGGAATTTCTCTAAATTCTGTATGAAGTTTGAAATTGTGATTTATATGGTTTTTGTTAAAGCATGAACCACAATTTTATAAAAAGATACCAAAAAAAATTTGGCTTGAAAATTATTGTAGGTATTAAAAATGAAACACCATTCATCCACTTTTGACCGCCACTGTGCACGTAATGTAAACAAATCATACTTCATGCGTTATTACCCTTTCGCCATTAATTTTGTATCAGTTTCATTGTTGTATTTAGTTTTCTTCTTTTTGCTATGCAAGTGTATTCTTACAATGCTTGCATATGTATTTACAAACACATACATACACATATAGGTACGTACATACATGTGAGCTTAAATGCATAGGGACACCTGTGTGCTGTTCTGCATTAAATATCATGTCATCATGTCATCGCCAGTGAGATTGTCAGTGCGTATGAGCAACTAAATGAGCACAGCACATCCCCGTTACTCAACTATTCAGTGTTGGAAAAAGTGGAATGAAGTAATAAAAAACATGTGCATAGCGAAATTTTTGATTGGCAAGGCTGTTAAAAACTTATAGTGATGTTGTTTTTTTTTTTGTTTTTTTTTGCTGTAGCAGTTGGTGTTTTTGAACGAGAAAGCGCTTTTTGTTTTCACTATTTCACCGTGCAGCTGCAGCTTGTCAAATGTCAATGCTAAACAACACGTACATTTGTGTGCTCAATTAATAATGATGACAATAGCAAATAAATGCAGCAGAATAGTGCAAAATAGAAAGTTTAGAGTTAGCTAGAAAAATTTATATGTGGGAGTGTTATTGAAGATAACATAAAACAAAATTTTGTTTAAAGAAATGACATTGAAATTTGCTTTAAATGGAATTATTTGTAAAAAATATTCCATTTAGCTAATATTTACTTTACTTGCATTTGGCTTTTTGAATAGGTGATAACTAGACATCGGAATTCCATGAAATTTGTATATGCAGAAAATATGAAAAAGATATGCAAATAATATGCAATCAATACTTATGTTAACAGGCTTTTGTATTAAATCAAAACAAATTCCTGCATAGTCATTTTATATACAAATCCAGCTTAAACCCTGTTGTTTATTTAGTACATCTATTAGTTTTTAGTATGTTTTAGACTACACCTTTTCTATATACATATGAATGTGTGTTCATATGTATGTAATATAAAAGAAAGTAGCTTAAAGTTTGTCACCAATAAACTCTATGGTTTCGCGCTCTGATAGTCTCGGCGAGTAGAGAGTTCATAAATATCTAGGTTAGAAAATGTAAAGGGTTGCCACCTATTAAACAATTAAATTCAATTAAGGGAAATGAATTATTACAATATGGGTATCAATCGAAATGGTTTGAAAAGGCTTTACTTGCCAACTACAGGCAGAAGGGTTGCCACCTGTTAAAAAATCAAATTAAATTTGAATTTAGGGAAATAAGTGGAGCTGAAATGTGTATCACAATAGATATGGGTGGCAAATATAAATCTTCCTCACTTTAAATGCAACGAGTTTCTGTCTTGGTCCAAGATTTCTTGGATGCTAAGCAAAAATATGCAATTTCATAGAATTCCGATGTCTAGTGATAACCTTTTTAAACTGTTTTCGTAGTAAAGATTTTGCAACCTATTTTCTTTGAAATCAATATTCCAATAATTCGTTATGATAACCGACGAAATTTGATTCGACTTTTAAACAGGTGGCAACCACTTTTTAAATTATTTTCGAAATAAAGCCTTCTTAAACATCTTTTGTCTGACGTGACATAATTTCGTAATGTTTCATTTTACTTATTGATGTAACTTAATTTGGCTTTTTAACAGGTGGCAAGCCTCTTTTTTAACGTATATACGAAATATTGCTTTCTTATACCTATTTCGATTGGCATCTATATTTAAATACGTTATTTAACTTATAAAAAAATTGTATTTGACTTTTAAACAGGTGGCAAACCTCTTCAAAATATTTTCCTAATAAACCCTTCTTAAACCTCATTCGTTTGCGACCCATATTATAATATTTCATTCAACTTATTAATAAAATTGAATTAGCCTTCTTAGATAGATTGCAATACTGTTAAACATATAACAGAAATTGAGCTTTTTTAAATCTCGTTCGTTTAACATTCATATTTCGTAGAGTTTGAGCTTTTCAGCAAGCGGCATTCCTTTCATGTTTATGTTATTAGTGGGAGATTTCCTAAACTGGTGGCAACTCTCATCAAAAATATTTACGAAATACATACAGCTTAAATAAAACGTTGCTTCAACTTCTCTTGGTTGATAGCCACATTAAAATAGATTATTTAACTTGTTAATTGAATTCATTTCGAATTTCTAAACAGGTGGCCCCTTTAATTTTTTTTTTTAAATAAAACTTGCTCAAACTTCTCTTGTTTGATACCCACACTAAAAATATATTTTGTTTAACTTGTGAATTACAGTGAATTGAACTTTCTGAACAGGTGGCAACCCTCCTAAAAAAATATTTTCAATATAATCGTTTTACAATCCCTTTCATTTGACCTCTACGCTATTTTAATATTTTATTTTATTTATTAATTGATTTTAAGTTTCAAAAATTTGGCTACTCACTTTAAAAGATCTCCTAAATGTTTATCCAGGTTATAACCTATGTGTTTACGAAAATTTTATGGAAATACGTCCTTCCATTTTAGCGTGATTCAGCAACAAACATACTACTCACACACTCACTCGCAAACTTTCACATGCACATAAATATAATAGCCGCTTCTACTGCATTTACGAACCATTTATATTTGAAAGCAACAATAAAGTTAGCTAGCAAACATGAAAGTTGGCGAGTTTGATCGTATGCACCTCATTAATTTCCTTCGTTCCGCCGCTCGATAGGATTTGGCGAAGCGAACGCGGTTAATGTTGGTAGGTTTAACCTATTGAACTTAGTTGTGCTCTCTTCGTTGGTGTTGGCCGATTTTTCCTACTAAGTTGGAAATAAATT